TCACAATACATATCCGTCAACTCCCTCTACCCCCGATTCCAATCTGGTTTCTGTCCTTCCCAGTCCCCCGAGACTGCTCTCCTTACTGTCCAGAATCATCTGGCCAACTCCTCTCCATGCTGGCCTCTCTTCAATTCTCATTCTCCTTGATCTCTCCTCTGCCTTTGACACAGTCGATCATCCCATTCTCCTCTCCACCCTTTCCAACCTCGGCATTTCTGGAACACCCTTAGCTGGTTGCACTCATACCTATCTTCCCGCACCTCTGCTGTTGCTTTCAACAGCTTCACTTCTCCCCCCTGCCCTCTGACTGTTGGTGTTCCCCAGGGCTGCTCATTTGACTGCAATCCAATCTTGGATGGCTCGCCAATACCTCATTATCAACCCATCAAAAAAATAAATACTCCCCCCCCCCCCCCCCCCCCTCATCTTTTCACCCTAGCCCATCCCACTGCGTATCCTAGCCCCTAACCCCTGGTCAGTACTCTGATTGCTTGCCCAACCCTGCCATAGCCTCTGTTCTCACTGTAGCACCACCCTACTTACTCACCCTTGCCCAATAAACGTACCTTCTTCCTTCAGCCTTTTCTTTTCAATGTACCATTTAGTTTAAAAATTGTTCAGCGCCTTGGTTAAAGGCGTTATATAAAAAAATAACAAAAAATAAAAAATAATAATACATTAAAATGTACAAATTCTTCACAGCATTTCATATTTACCTACAATGCAGTGATTCCAACAACTTTCTTGTCAGCTGACATTTCTATGACCTAATATACACTGAACAAAATTATAAACGCAACAGTTTAGTTTTTGGCCCCATTTTTCATGAGCTGAACTCAAAGATCTAAGACTTTTTCTATGTACACAAAAGGCCTATTTCTCTCAAATATTGTTCACAAATCTGTCTAAATCTGTGTTAGTGAGCACTTCTCCTTTGCCGCCATATTCGCTGTATTTCTACTTAACCTGTTCTTCAATTAATGTAGGCCTATGTTTGAATAAATCCGTTATTTTTTTCTAATGGCCACCATTTAAATGTTTATATATTTTTTAAAACGAGTAGAAACATAATTATGTCATTAAATCAGGTAATTGTAAGCTTTAATATTATAGTGATGTACCAACTGGGGTTACCTGTATAGTTTACCGCAAGAGTAAATCGAAATTGATTCACTAATGCTGGCTTGGTAATCGAATTGAATCGTGAAGCGTTTGTGTCAATGCCAAAATCTTACATTTTGAAAATGATTTTGAGTCTTTAAAATAATAAATCGAATAGTTTGCCCAAAATTCTTAATTAGCATCATTCCAAAACCTTCTGACACAAAAAAAAAAAAATATTTTGAAAGACTCTTAAGGTCCAAAACCATTTTGGGGAAAAAAAAACACTTTTTTTCTTTTTCTTATCTAATTTTTTGTTCCACAAACGAAATTCATGCACGTTTAAAAATATATATATTCAAGTCATAGGTGATGGGTTACGCGTTCATTTACTACAGATCTCATCTCAAATATTAAAATAACCATCCATCACTGCATCTCGAGTATTTTTCTGTTTATGTTTAGCGGAAAAGCTCATCTCAAATGGTGGTGATGAGCTCTTGAGATACATATCATTCAGATATACAGTAAATGTCAAACCCTCTCCTTTACTTGCTGCTGTCATGGCTTCAGTTGAAAGATGAGTGTGTGTCTCTAAAGAGAGGTGCGACTCTTCAGGAACACAAAAAGAAATACAAGTTCTTTCAGGTCTGCTCCAGCACCCACTAAGGGGAAACAAACATGCAATCTGAAATCTCTGAAGAGGTCGACGTGGGAACGGCTCTACTCAGAACCTGGAGAGAGGCGGCTTGGCAATCTGTGAGAGAGTGCACTCAGGAAAAGGTCAGTGTTTTTCGCTGCATCCATGCAAGTGATTTAGAAGTGAGAGGAAGAGACGAAATTAGTAGTAGTAGTAGGGGGGTGTCTTACTGGGAATTTTATTCTATGGCAAAAGAAAAAAAACATTTGAAAGCCTTTACAAAATGTACTGCATGTACAGGCAAAAGTAAAATGTAGGATGAGAAGACCTATATTGAGTTACAATACAAAGGCAGAAGACGATGATAATTAATGGATAATAATAATATAATAATAATACTTTTATTGTATTTTTTATTATTATTATTATTAATAATAATAGTTGAGTCAAACCCTTTGGATAAAAGTGTTTGCCAAATGAATATATGTAAATGCCTAGTAGCAAACAGTTGCCCTGTGTATTTTAAGTGTCAAGTTTCCCCCCCCCCCCCAATTTTTTTTTCCCATTTTTTTTCCCCAAACCTGTATGGCTTACTTTATTTTGTGGAACATAAGATATTTTGAAGATTTTGGTTCCCATTGACTTCCATTGTATAAAAAAAAAAAAAAAAAACTCTTTTGTGTAACTGATCTTTTATGTTCCACAGAAGAAAGTAAGTCGTACAGGTTTGAAACGACATGAGGGAGGGTAAATGATGACAGAATTTTCATTTTTGGGTGAACTATCCCTTTAATGCCCATTTAAAACCTATGAATCTCATTGTATTATTAATGCAATTGTAACTGCAGTGTAAATGCATTCCTGCCACCTCTGAGCTGAATAAACGATCTATAAATATATCTAAATTCCAATTCAGATGCAGCTTCTAAAAAACAAAAACATGGTCATTGTAGTTGAATGTTGTAGTTTTTTTTTCAGTTTTTTTTTGTGAATCAAATAAAATATTTCTATCTAAAGCTACTTTTTGTAATGTTTATTTGATACTTTTCTCATTTTACACAATAATGACTTTAAATTATTTTTTTGGGGGGTGGGGGGGGGTGGGGCGGGGGTTATGTCTCAACTAAACATGATGTGTGACTGATTTATGATTAGTTAGATTAATTAAATCAACATGTAATTAATAAGATTACACATTTTTATAGTTTGGCAGCCCTACAGTATATACAGTATATGTAATTTGTATTTAATTTGTATTAAATTTTATATATAATTTGATTGTTCATTCAAATTATGCCAACTGCTAATTTTGGATCCAGCATCCAGCAAGTTTCTCAAAATAATTGATGCCATCAACTCTCCTACTATTATTTAATGTATTAAAGACTAAAGAACTTGAAACTGAGTTTCAAAAGCTCTCATTTACTAACTATTCATAATCAGGTCTTGAGGTATCCATCAGGTATGAATATGTACAGTATATTCAATCCATATACTAAACAACTAGAGTGACTTGACTTGATTATCACAGCTGTACCGATAATAAAAATAATTCTTTGAGGAGTTTAGAAGGGAAAATTATTTCTTGTGATTAAATGAGATTTCTGGCACAAAAGACCTATTGCAATCTAAGTAGTAAGCCATCATAGTACTACTGACTTTGCTTTCAGCCACTTCACTTTTAGGTGACTGATTCCTTGATTACATGTCAAAGAGACAGTTAGCGCTAGATTGTGCTGAACCATCAAGTGCAGGAATGTTACTTGCAGCACAAGATGCCAGGAGAGAAAAATCAATATTGTGCTTGTACTCACACTCTCTTAAAGCACATCATGAGCCTCTTATGGGAACTTGAACAAAATAACAGCTGCGTTAGGCCAGTAGCAATTTAAACATTGATTTGAAAGCAATGAAATCTTTACAATCACACCAGATTATGTTTTTTTTGTTTTTTTTAAACTACTGCCGCAATTTTCTAAAGCAGAACCAACTGGTCCTGTAGGTGATATAGGTGGTCGCTCAGGTCACCAACATGCCGGGGGTACATAAGAAATTCATTGATCTTCCAATATAAAAATGCTTAATGCTCAACTTAAGCTAATAATGAAATATGTTAATGAAATTAAATAAATGTAGTTTTCCCACACTGTGCCATGCTGTTTAAATTAAGGTTTAATATCTAAACATGCATACAGTATACCTCAACATGTACACATGAAGTTGTCATATGGTACTTGCTGCTTTTACTGGTTGAGAGGAATCAAATAACAGCAGTGCAACCATGGTCTGGACAATTATTTACACCTAAAATGATTATGCGAAATATACCTGAAAAATTACAGACAATATCTGGACTTTGAAGGCCTTGCCATTTAAAGGTGTTTTATGCCAATTGCCATTCTACCAGCCTATAGAGTGCAACAGTGCCTGCCCACTTTTTCAGCTGTGTTGGTTTCATTTCAAGTATTTTTTTCCATTCATTTCTCACATAGAGATATTTTAAAGTTAAACTGTTATAAGCAATAAAACAAACCAACTAGCTACGAGGTAAATCACAACATTAAAACCTTTGAGTTGAAGCAAAAAAATGGACAAAAAGACAACGTGCAAGACTTAATTTACTTAATGGCTTTATTGAGGGAAAGAACTCCAATCCCATGAACCAATATTAATTTAATTTTACAAGATATTTTTTTTTTATGAAGATAATATAAAACTACTCATTTAAAGTTTATTATTTCTGTATAAATAATATATTTTACATGTATTGCAAAATGTAAATATATACACCTATTTAAGTATTTTGAGAGCGAGGTGAAACCGACTCGATTACATAATTTAGATTGCTTTATGAGAGAAATCTAAAAAAAATGCTTGGTTCTTTCAACCCAACTGTTGGGGTTAAAATTGTATTTAAACATGTCCATATTTGACCCAAACATGGGTTAAAACAACCCAGCATTTTTCAGAGTGTGTGTTATCTCTGCAAGCTCTGTGTTTTGACTCTCTGATTAGCGGAAATTTCTGTACAGCATCATGGGTAATGTAGTTTCTCACCATAAATTCACCTGTTAAACACGATTGTTTAAAAAAAATACATTGAAATAATATGAACAGATAGATTCATCAAAAGCGCATACCATTGAATGACAACCTCTAAACTCACAGTAGGCCTGTCTTAAAAAAAGTTATTTTTAAAAATTATTTTCCGTCCGAAACCCTACTGTTTCACTCTATTGTATTTCTGTGGCCTTACCACATGGGTGGGCTTCAGAGTGGCACCATCAAAGCGCATCAGTGTAGAGCTGTCCTCCGGAAACATGTCACAGTCCTCCAGGTCCTGGGCATTGCAAGGGGGCTTGTCCTTCTCTGGGTTTGGATTCTTTGAAGTCAAATCAGAAACAAATACTAACATTTTTGAAAATGTTCCCAATGCCTTCATGATTTATTTTTCGCTACTTTTCAAATATCTTTAATGCATACATTTTATTGTCATTAAATCCTAAAGGGGTCATGACAATTGAAATCATATTTGCCTTGATACTTTCTACCATTAAAGCAGCTTAAAGGGTTAGTTCACCCAAAAATGAAAATTCTGTCAGTAATTACTCACCCTCATGTTGTTCCAACCCCGTAAGACCTTCGTTCATCTTCGGAACACGAATTAAGATATTTTTGAAAATGAAATCTGAGAGCTGGATTACTCCTCCATACTAGTCCATAGGCTTCTTCAGGGATTGAACTTGCTGGCCTCGTAAAAGTTATTTAAGACATCGTTAAAATAGTCCAAGTGACTACAGTGGCTCAATCTTAAGTTTATCAAGCGACGAGAATACTTTTTGTGCGCAAAAAAACACAAAAATAACGACTTTATTTCAACTATTCATTTCCTTCTCTGTGGGCCTCGAGTCAGTTCACTAGTGTAATAGCGTAAGCTTCTGTTGTTGTACTTCACACGCATCACACACATGACCAGCGTCGGCCAATAGTGAGCCTACGTGTGACGTAGCTCTACGGAATCACACTACGTTAACTGACTAGAGGCCCAAAGAGAAGGAAATGAATAGTTGAAATAAAGTCGTTATTTTTATTTTTTTTTCGCACAAAAAGTATTCTCGTCGCTTGATAAACTTAAGATTGAGCCACTGTAGTCACTTGGACTACTTTAACGATATCTTTAATAACTTTTCGAGGCCGGCAAGTTCAATCCCTGAAGAAGCCTATGCACTAGTATGGAGGAGTGATCCAGCTCTCAGATTTCATCAAAAATATCTTAATTCGTGTTCCGAAGATGAACGAAAGTCTTACGGGGTTGGAACAACATGAGGGTGAGTAAATACTGACAGAATTTTCATTTTTGGGTGAACTATCCCTTTAAAACGTCTTCCTCATTATAAACCAAGCATTTGTTTAATCAAGCACCATAAACAGCTCGTTTTGATATTGGGTGACCTGTGACATCACACAGGAAAATACATTTGCATATGACTGCCTCCAGAGCGAAACATTGACAAATACCTCATCGCACCGATAGGCCCCGCCCACTGGCATTCAGTCACTTAACGGTTGACATTTGTTTATATCGGATGTGAGCGTCGCGTCAAAAGCAAATAGAACCCATTATAAACACTGCATACAGATGTGCGTTCACTTGAGTCTGTCAACAACAGGACAAATGGAAGAGTGGAAGATGTTTTAAACATATTGTTTGTGTCTTTGTACTGCACAGACTTCAGAAGGATCCCAGCATTGGAAACAAGTGATGGTTTGTTTTTATGGCGTCCCGGATCGTGTTGAAGGATTATATGTTTGTTCGGAGCATTTTGTTTTGTCAGTGAGGGACAGTGTAATGGAGTGTTTCAACTTTTGTTGAAAGATGAAAGTCATCATTGGATCTGACAGCAGCGGCATCACAAACCATAAATGAATGATTTCATAAAGCTTTGTAAGTGATGGTTCTCTTTCATAGGTTCACTCAACGCTGCGGAAAGCGCAGTGGGATATCCTCTGGATGTGCCGATTGCCTGAAGCCCTATAGAATCACGCCAATTCATTGGCTGATGGCGCTCGCGCAAAGCTGGCTCCGCCCCGACGCTCTTACGTCGTAGCATGATGAACGCGCGCGCGCCATCTTCTCCTCAGATTTCTCTGCCTTCACGAAGCGGTCACATCTCGCCCTTCGTTCGGTTTTTCTGAGCCCGAATTCTTCAAATTCAACTTCAGCTTTCGTCTCGACACTTCAGCGACTGGTATAAGTGGAACTCTGTTCTCCTTACAGTGAAGTGTCATGGATTATCGACGCTGCTCTCCGCCATGCGTTCGTTTTATCTCGAACGACGACCCTCACAGTAAGTGTGTTAAATGTATGGGTTTTTCGCATGCGCGTGAGGCTGTATTGGGATTGTCGAAATGTAAATTTTGTGACAATCTCCTTCTCAAAACCCTCCGCTCTAGACTCGCGGTTTTTGAGAAGGAGTCATTCGTTCCCCCCCGTCGCGCTCCAGAGACTGCTGAGGCCTCTCGTGGATCCGCGGCCTGGGGCTCGGATGTTGAGCTCGAGGATATTGAGTATGAGCAGACGGGCCTCGCCCTTTCTCTCCCTCCCTCTCCCGAGCACGCACGCGGCGCGGTTGAATTCGCGCATGATTATTTATGTCCCAGCCCGGGAGCCCGCGAATCGGTTTCTTTCGGTCTGGATGACGTGATTTACACTGCAGCCTCCGACTCCGAGGATTTCGGGCCTGCTTTGGCTGATGACGTTATCCCGCCTAGCGGCCAGGACGCGCGGCCTACTCCGGCCTACACTGAGCTTATTGACGTGCTGTCGCGCGCTACAGAAAAGCTCTCTATTGACTGGCCTGATGAGCCCCGCGAGTCTCAATCGTCCAAACTCGACGAGAGGTTCCTACGTGGCCCTAATTCTAGGCCAGAGCGAAGAAAGCTGCCCTTTTTCAGCGATCTGTATCACGAGATCTCCAGATCCTGGAAGCAGCCTTTCTCCGCACGCCTAACTAACGCGGCAGCCGCTGACTTCACCAACCTTGTGGGTTTTGTGGAGCAGGGTTATTCCGCTATTCCAGCGGTCGAGGACACGCTGGCTAACCACCTCGCCCCCGTCGTCTGCACCGTCCTGGAAGGCGCGTCCCCTTCTTCCTTTCAAGGCTTGTAGGACTACTTCCTCCCTTATTGGGAAGTCTTACATGGCGGCTGGTCAAGCAGGCATGGCCCTGCATACCATGGCCATCCTTCAAGCCTACCAAGCGGACGTCTTGAAGGACATGGATGAAAGAGAGGGACTGACGCCCGAAGCTGTCAAAGAGCTTCGCAAAGCCACAGATCTGGCCCTAAGAGCCACCAAACACACTGCTCGGGCTGTTGGTCGCTCTATGGCGGGCTCGGTTGCTGCAGAGCGCCACCTCTGGTTGAATCTCACGGAGATCCGAGACAAGGATAAGAGTTTCCTCCTGGATGCCCCTATCTCCCTCTCAGGTCTTTTCGGGGAGGCGGTCAACACGGTGGTTGAGAAGTTCCGCGCCGCTAAGTCTCAGTCGGCCGCGTTCAGGCAGTTTATACCCAGGAGGGTCAGAGGGCCAAGAGACTCCAACCCTTCCCCTTCTCAAACCCGAGAACGCTCTGCTCATAGGGCTGAATTCCCTACTAGCAGGAGTGACCCGGCTCACCACCCTCCAACTACGGTCTGGGGAGCCCGAGGTCGTCCATTTCCCCGCCAGCGCCCTCACAAGCGCCTTCAGCTGAAGCGGTCCAACAAATCGGCCGCTCCAGCCTCCTCGAGCCGTTCCTGACCCGCAGGTCAGAAGGAGGAGAGCCTCACCAGATCTACGAGGTTGGGACAGACCGCGCAAGCGTTTCTGCCCTCCTCCACCCGGCTCTCCTCATCCAACCTTGTCACCTTCGCCACCCAGCGTGTTTCGAAGTGCAGGTCCTGTTTCACTCTCTTCACCCAGTCCGGCGCAGGAGGAAGGAGACGCGTCTTGCTTTCTCCCCTCGCTCCCGGTGCACGTTACACCCGCCAATCGCTTCCTCGGAGGCACAGTTCGTTTTCCTCTGGAGCAGGCGGACCCAGTTACTTCTATCCAGGTGGTGGTACCCCCCAGTACGTGTCAGGACGCCAAGCACTCTCCTCCACGGTCATCCGCGCCTCCCCATGGGAACCAGCGCGACACCCTACCTCAGGTATGTCCCTTGCACTGCAACACTCCTCTCCCTCTATCACATTTCGTTCAAGAATGGGAGCGTTTACCAGGGGTATCGCCTTGGATCCTTCGCACAGTTCGGCTCGGCTACACGCTTCAGTTTTGTCGCAACCCCCCCTGCTTCAACGGGGTCTTTCCTACTGTAGTCGACAGCGCCGCTCAGGCTTCTGTACTACAGCAGGAGATTTCATCCCTTCTGCTGAAGGGGGCGATAGAAGAGATTCCTTCGGGGGAAGTCGAACAGGGCTTCTACAGCCGTTACTTCCTGGTCCCGAAGAAGGGGGGCGGCCTGCGGCCGATACTAGATCTTCGCCGGTTGAATTTCTCTCTTTACAAGGGAAAATTCAAAATGTTGACGCTGAAGGCCATCATATCTCATATCCGGCTGGGGGACTGGTTCGTGACGATAGACCTCAAGGATGCTTATTTCCACATCCAGGTCGTACGGCGACACAGGAAGTTCCTCAGGTTCGCCTTTGGAGAAAAAGCGTACCAGTACAGGGTCCTCCCCTTTGGCCTCGCTCTAGCGCCAAGGACGTTCACAAAGTGTATGGATGCTGCTCTGGCCCCGCTGCGGCTCCAGGGCATCCATATACTCAACTACCTGGACGATTGGCTCCTTTTAGCCCACTCCAGAGAGTTGCTGACTCACCACAGGGACATTGTCCTCCGTCATATTCAGTCTCTCGGTTTGAGGTTGAATACGGAGAAGAGCGTTCTTACTCCAGCTCAGAACACGGTTTTCTTGGGGGTACGCATGGACTCCGTTCTTATGCAGGCCCGTTTGGCTCCTGCACGGATTTCCAGTCTGGTGACATGTCTGTCCCGTTTTGCACTAGGCCAGCATGTTTCCGTGAGCACCTGCCGCAGACTTCTGGGCCTTATGGCCGCGGCCTCCCCTGTGCTACCTCTGGGGCTACTCCACATGAGACCTTTTCTGTGGTGGATGAAGCTCTCAGGGGCTCGGCCCACGGGGCCAGCCCTTCGCCTATTGAAGGTGTCGCGCAGTTGCTTTCGCGCCCTGTCAATCTGGCGGGACCCCCTCTTCCTTCAGAAAGGAGTCGGTATGGGTGCGGTATTCCGTCGCCAGATGGTTACGACGGATGCCTCTCTGACCGGATGGGGAGCGGTTTTCGAGGGCAGGCCAGCAAGTGGGGTTTGGACTGGCGAGACCCTCTCGTGGCACATAAACAGCTTGGAGCTGAGGGCTGTCTTCCTGGCTCTTTGCCACTTTCTCCCTTTCCTCGAAGGACACCATGTCATTGTCAGAACGGACAATATGGCAGTAGTGTCCCATGTAAACAGACAGGGGGGTTCACGATCGCGCACCCTAGACAGGCATGCGCGTCACCTTCTCCTGTGGTCCCAGGACAAGTTCCTCTCTCTGAGAGCAGTTCATGTCCCAGGGATTCTGAACCTCGCAGCAGATTTTCTGTCGAGGCAGAAGCTCAGGTCTGGGGAATGGATGTTGAACCGCCAGACGGTGGCCCTGATCTGGGAGGTGTTCGGGAAAGCGGAAGTGGACCTCTTTGCATCTCAGGAGTCGTCCCAATGCCCGCTTTGGTTCTCTCTGAGCCCTCCAGCTCCGTTGGGGATAGATGCGTTCGCCCACCCTTGGCCGATGCAGAAACTCTATGCCTTCCCGCCCATCAAGCTGATCCAGGCGGTTCTGTCCAGAGTGAGGGAGAGCGGAGTCCGCCTCCTTCTGGTAGCCCCATTCTGGCCGTCCCAGCCATGGTTTTCGGAGCTGATCCCTCTGTTGGAATCCTCCCCCTGGGAGATACCGGTCAGGGAGGACCTGCTTTCCCAGCTTCAGGGCAGGATATGGCATCCTCGCCCCGACATTTGGAAGCTGTACGTTTGGCCTATCAGAGGCCGTTACCTTTAAGCTTTGATCTCCCAACTGACGTTCAGGAGACCATTGCGAATGCTAGAGCCCCTTCAACGAGGAGGCTATATTCCTCCAAGTGGAGGGTGTTCGAGGCATGGTGCTTAGCACATGATAGGAACCCAGTTAACTGCCCAGTAGGCACAGTGCTGGAATTCCTGCAGGAAAAGTTTGCTTCCGGAGCGGCCACTACCACTCTCAGAGTATATGTCGCAGCTATTGCCGCTCATAGAGAATCAGATGAGATTCCCTTGGGGAAACTGAGGTTAGTTTCGGCCTTCATGCGTGGGGTTAGGCGCCTAAAACCGGCTCGCCCCCCTAGTGTTCCCTCGTGGGACCTGTCAGTCGTCCTGGAGGGTTTGTCAGAGGCTCCCTTCGAGCCCTTGGAGTCAGCCCCTGAGCGGATTCTGACTCTTAAGGTTGCTCTTTTGTTAGCTTTATCTTCATTAAAGCGGATGGGGGATTTGCAGGCTCTCTCTATTAGTGAGTCATGCTTGGACTTCGCTCCTGGCCTGGTTAGGGTTACTTTGAGGCCGAGGTCGGGGTATGTACCCAAGGTTCTTTCCACGGCGTTCCGCTCTCAGGTTGTTAACCTTAACGCTTTCCACCCTCCTCCTTTTGCCTCTGAGGAAGAAAGGAAACTTAACTTGCTCTGCCTGGTCCGTTCTTTGAAGTTGTATGTAGATCGCTCAGGCGGTTGGAGGAAATCAAACCAGCTCTTGGTATGTTTTGGTGCTGGCCGCCGCGGGCTTGCAGCATCAAAGCAAAGGATTTCCCACTGGGTAACGGACGCTATTTCGCTGGCTTACGAGGTGCGTGGTTTGCCTTCACCTCTTAGCATCAGAGCACATTCCACCAGAAGTGTGGCTTCCTCTCAAGCTCTCTTTAGAGGGGCCCTCTTGCAAGACATTTGTGTGGCGGCAGGTTGGTCCTCTCCGCACACCTTTGTGAGGTTCTATAATTTAGATCTTGACATGACTCCAGGTTCCCAGGTTCTATCTGCTTGAACCTGTCATGGTTGTTATTATTATTTGGTCTGGTACCAGTTATGGCAGCGCTTAGCTTGGCGAGTTTGGTATTTCGTTCCCACTGCGCTTTCCACAGCGTTGAGTGAACCTATGAAAGAGAACGTCTCTGGTTACTTACGTAACCTATGTTCTCTGAATAGGGAACGAGACGCTGCGTTCGCTGCCAAGCTCCTCGCGCTGCCGACAGTTTTTCTTTTCGGCAGAGAAATCTGAGGAGAAGATGGCGCGCACGCGTTCATCATGCTACGACGTAAGAGCGTCGGGGCGGAGCCAGCTTTGCGCGAGCGCCATCAGCCAATGAATTGGCGTGATTCTATAGGGCTTCAGGCAATCGGCACATCCAGAGGATATCCCACTGCGCTTTCCGCAGCGTCTCGTTCCCTATTCAGAGAACATAGGTTACGTAAGTAACGAGATACGTTTTATATGGATAATGTTTTCAAAACGCTTTCTCACATGCAATTGCAAGTGGGTGTTGATACTGTTTCCTATCCCATGACGTTAGCCAGTCATAACAGTGGCAGTTTACTGGCAAGCCTTAAAGGAGCCATCCCTTAAAAACGGGCGATTTCAGACGGAAGCTCAGGATGAAGGTTGAAAATAAATCTATTTTATTGCATAAATGTTTTTTGTGCAAAATATTTGTTAGCATTATAACAAGTATAAGTGTACCTCAATAAAAAAAAATAAAAAAAACATGTCATGACCCCTTTAAAGGTATTGTAGGCAGGAATTTTATAAAAAAAAACTCTTTTCCAAATTCGTTTAAACTTTCTGTATATATTAATGCATAATTAAAATGTAAGTACTCTGAAAAAGAAAGTATAAAAATCGAATGTCTGTAGACCTCTCACGACTGTTTTAAAGACAGCTCATTATTTCCATTCACTCCACCCCCTCCCTTCTGGGCACCTTCCAAAGCCACGCCCCCAAAACACATGAACTCGCGACTCCGACCGCTGAGCTGAAGACGCATTATTTACCTGAGACGAGCGGAGAGGAAGGAGCGCAGTGCATGTTGTGACATCATGTCAGAATCACATGTAATAAAAAAATCTAACTTTATCATTATGAAGATAAACAAATAAGATGTATTTTTGTACTCACTATCAAGCTAGCATATTGATATCGGTAAAGTTTAAAATATATATTTATTGATTCGCTAACGAGCTAGTTATCTATAAGGCAAAGCTAAAAACAGGTTGCATGATACACGTTTTTCCATTGCCATCATTTACACTGTGATTAAGATGAATTTCGTGTAACATTCATATATATGGTGTTCTGCATGTAAGAGTTTCCATGATGAAAGCATTGTTGACTCTGATGAGGACTATCTGATAATCACTCTCCAGAGACAAGTACCGCATCGTCAGCTCGAGGACAGATACATCGTTGTTTATCCAAAGACTTTTTGTTCATTACCTTTTCTAGTAACGTTAGTCTCTTCCTTTTTTGGCTGGTTTGCCTTTGCGAACTGCATATGTGAATTTTGATTGGTCTTTCTCTGCCATTGTTTTGCTATTCCTAGGTTCCGTGCCTCTTGAATTCCTCAAATCAAACGGATACGTGCAAGTGGGCAGGTCCTGTGTGGCAAAAGGGTGGTTGCCATGGTTGCGAGAGAGTGACAGTCGCCTAAGCCAATCCTTTGTTTCGTCCCGGAAGGAAATAATGAGCTGTGTTTAGTGCAGATTAAACGGTCTAGAGTCACTCGATTTTTATACTCTTTTTATCAGAGTACTTACATTTTAATTATGCATTGATATATATTGAAAGTTTAAACAAATTTGGAAAAAAGTTTTTTATAAAATTTCTACCTACAATACCTTTAAAACTATGAAAATCCACCATAAAACTTTCACATTTACATTTCACAGGAAGTGAAATATAAAAATATTTTATAATCATTTTCCAAAAATTAACAACCATAGTCCCACAGCTATGGTGTCATTCCCACCAAACTGAGCAATTTTGCCCATATAAAATGTGTTTCAAAAGTTATTGAAAGAAACTGACCAGGTCTTCAGCAGTGAGATACGAGAGTTTCTGCTGGAGCTGCGATTTTTGTTCGTCATTCATTAGATACTCTCCTCTCCGGTTCCCCAGAACCACCTCGGACCAGAGTGGGCCTTCACTTCGCTTCTGTAGACTGACCTCCAAACTACACACACAAAAACTCCAAATAATTACAGATAAACATGATTGACCATTTGTCATAGTGCATCACAAAAAAACAAAGCAAAATTAAACCTTCTGGATGAAGTTTAGATGATGTAGATGAATAAAAACACATTTTGGTATTGATAATTCAGTCGTTCATAAAGGACTTGCTTTTCCCTTTGAACTCGGTGTACAAGTACTATTAAGTATGGAATATTTCCAATCTATTTAATTGCATCTGATAAAAATGATTCCTTTCATATATTCCATTATATTGTATATGCCTCAAACAAAGGCCGCTTTGGGTTCCCATACAAATGCAAATGACTTTTACATTGACTGTAAAAACAACAGACGGAGAAAACATAAACGCACGTATAAACACTCAAAACCCAGAGTCCTTCTCACACACTCGAGAGCACAAGAGGGGCCATCAGGGGCCTCTTATTAAAATCACGGATCTGGAAACATAGACGAGAGGACAGAGAACAATGTGGGTGGAGGGCTTGTTTGTTTCTCCGGAGGTGGTGAGTGACCGAGACGTGAGATGATGTTTATTAGAGAGAGGAAGACACAGCGGATGAAGGGACGGATGTGGAAATTCAAATCCGATGAACAACTAACGCTCTAATCATGTTTTTGAGAAATGACTAGTTGTTAAAACCTTTCAATCCTTGATACATGTGATGAATGTGTACGGAGGCACACTCACACCTCTCATAAACATTCACCAATGTGGGCGGTTGTTCGCCATATGCGTTGCTTCAGCTCAACGTTTGCCAAAATCCTCTTGTGCATATCCACAATATATTTAGCCTTTGTCAAGACATAATGTGAAACTCCATAAGCTTTAGTAACATTTTTCAAGTTGGCCACTACTTTCAAGAAAATGTTGTCATCCTTTATTCACCCTCAAGTCATTACGACCACTTTCTTTCTTCAGTGGAACACAAAGGAAGATGTTTAGCAGATGTCCAGGCTGTTCTTTTCCAAATAGTGACCAAGGACTCACCATCTCCAAATAAAGACATAAAAGTAGTCCATACGACATTAAAGGGGTCATATAATGGTACATGCACTTTTTCAAGTTGATTGTACTGAAATGTGTGTTGGCAGTGCCTGTACACAACCACCATATAATGATAAAAATCCATCCAGTGTTTTTTTTAATCTCCTAATATGTTTTCCCCGTTTCAAATCGAGCCGTCTGACCGTGTGACGTCACACGGTCAGACGCCCCTCCCACGAATGTTGATTGACAGCAGCGTTTCAACACATCCCCGCCCTGAGCGAGCTGTCATTATAGTCCGTCATTGTTGATACGCTGGAGCAGAATGGCGTCTAAGCGATTGTGGTGTTCTGTTCTTGGGTGTAATAACGAACACAGCAGTTATTTTGATGTTCCTAAATCTGAACTGCTGAAGACACAGTGGCTGAGTTTTGTTTTCGAAGGGAATATTCCCCACGACGAGCAACGTCAATGCTTTCATGTTTGCGCAAATCATTTCTCACTAGACTGCTTTATAAACGAGGGTCAGTATAAAGCTGGTTTTGCTAAGAAGCTGCTCGTGAAAAAAGAATCGGTACCACTATTCGTGTTCCTGCTGCACCTCCAGAAGAAGTGAGTGTAAAGTTTTAACCTTTATATTAATCTTTGCAAATCGCTTGCACACTTCACGATGAATGCGGCTAAGGTTTTCATTACGGCATGTTTTCTATGTACGACATTCTCAATATAATTCATAATCCCACGTTTATAATGAACAACGCGTTATGGTTATTGTGTTATTACAAACTGTGTACGTATACATCAGTAAACACATAGCGTTCGTATCTCACTACTCTACCCTGCCACCCTGCCAGTACATACAAAGATAGATCAAAGTGACATTACGTTAACCAACCATTCAGAAACGTCCTGTTCGAGCCTTTATTGTCGAACTTCATCGGGGCCTTCATCTTGTTCCGTGTCCGACTCCGGTTCAAACTGATACGGTTGCACAAATGTGTCCTCAGAGACTCCCGCTGCCATTCTCTCTCCAAAATATACCCTCAACTGTTGTCAAGGCAACACTCCACATGTGTTGTGTCAAAACACCCACAGAACGGAGGGGCGGGGTGAGATAAGCTCATTATCATTTAAAGACACATGCACTTAAATGGCGTGCTGAAAACAGAGCTGTTTTTGACCAGGTAAAATGAGTGTTTTCTTACAATACTAATGAGAATTTTTAATTAAAGTATATTACAAACTTTTCATTTAGACCCTAAAGAATCAAATTAACTTGTATGAAAATGGCATTATATGACCCCTTTAAGAATGTTTTCCAGTCAGTTAAGTAGTTAAGATTTTTCCAGAAATAATATTTATCAAAGAGACCCACAGATGACATGATGAGGAAAAAAACATCATATTGCGGCCACAAATTAAGAATTTGTTTCCACAAAATAAGTACAACATGGCCACGATTTACCTAAAATAAGGGAACAAATTAATAGAACATGGCCAAAATGTAACTAAAATAAGGACACTTATTAATAAACACAGCCACAAATGAATAAATCATGGAAAGTAATTCTTAATTTGTTGCCACAATTTCTTGCATGCGTGAGCTTATATTATATTATACTAACTTATATTAAAAGGTTAGTTGACTCAAATGAAAATTCTGTCATCATTTACTCACCCTCATGTTGTTCCAAACCCATAAGACTTTTATTCATCTTCGAAACACAAATGAAGATATTAAATCTGAGAGATTTTTGTACCTCCGTTGACAGTCTACACAACTACCACTTTGTCACTTCAAAAAGTCTACAAAGAGATCATAAAACTAATCCATATGAAAATTCCATCTGTTTATCATAAAAAGTGATCGTGCCTCTTAAGAAAATTTGGACTAAACCAATTCATATGGATCAGTTTTACGATCCCTTTATGAATTTTTTGAAGCCACAAAGTGGTAGTTGCGCGGACCGTCAATGGAGGGACAGAAATCTCTCAGATTTCATAAAAAATATCTTAATTTGTGTTTCAAAGACGAACCAAAGTCTTACGGGTTTGGACTGACATGAGGGTGAGTAAATGATAACAGAATTTTTTTATTTTTGGGTCAACAAACCCTTTAAGTTACTTAAATTATATTACTTTATTATCCCAATTTTTTGTTTGTTTGTTATCCTTTACAAAGGTTTAATTACAAAGTTATTATTTTTTTGCTTACTGAAACTTCCAATACAATCACTTTTTGCAATTTTGACAAAAGCTCATCTATGTTAGCTGACTATATAACATTATTGTGGATATGAGATTAGAGAGCTACAAGGGAATATTTAATTCTAAAGTTATTCTCGTCTGTTCCCCACACAAAACTTTTGAATGGCTTTAGAAGACCTATAATTCAATGCATGAGTCACACAGGCTACTTTTTTTTTACTTTCAGACATTATAAATCACCCTTTACCATGCCTGGACATATTAAAGATAGTGAAACATGAGAATGAGCAAATAACAAATTTTTTGGCGGGTAAAAAAAAAACCCTTTAACAAACCAACAAATTGTTGTGCAAACTTCTTTCAGAATCTTTTTACCTCTTATCATCTTGAATGGTCCAAGTGCTGGCCTCGGGATCTACAGGAGCAAACAGTTGCCCATCCAGCAGCGGTGCATAATCTCCTACTCTGACACGTAGAAAATCAACGGTGAGCTTGAAGCGGATGTCATCTTTGGTGGTGCCTTCAGGTAAACGTACACAAACGGTCACGTCCTCTTCTGTTTGCTGCCAGAAGTAGATGGGATCTGTGATAGGAACAATGGAAGAGGTGACACCTAATACAAAGCAGATGTTTATGGATGAATGCATAACTAAATTTCTCAGATATCTGGTAGACTTCACATGATTTTTTGCTGAAAGAGGTAAGAAACACTACAGACAAAGATTTTATATCTTGAGTATAACTGGGAGTATAACTCTTTAACTCTGTAAGTGATAAAACAACAACTTTTAAAATAATGAGACTAAGCTTTATTTCCATCTATTCCATTGTCTATTAAACATCATTTAACCATGGTGAACTATGTGATTGTGCGCAATACAAAGTATGAGTTCGGAAAATTTTAGGTCACTGTGACAACTGCACAAGATGACAAATAAAACCTGTATGCATGACACTCTGTGTCAATGTGTGCCTTTATTTAGCAATGGAAGTAAGAAATCTGTGTGCCCTTTTGTTGAGAAAATCTAACATAATTGGAAGAAAAAGCCTTTTCTACATGCTGTTGAGTTCTGATGATGTAGTGACTGTACAGCAACAAGCACTTAAATATAAAGAACATAAGAATTCTTATCTTTGAAACGGATTTGGATCTGTAAGGATAGGTCAAATGAGGTGGTGAAGCCTAATAAGCCCCTTTCACACAGCGCGTTGATCCCGGGAAATTGCCAGAATGCCTTCTGTGTGAACGCAAACACGACCCGGGATTGATGCCGGGATCGATGCCGGGTTGGGGACCTAGTAACATTGCCGGGATCAGTCCCGGAACGCGCGCTGTGTGAACAAAAGCCGTAACCAATGCCGTGTCGTAATGATGACGCTGAAGTAAAGTGAAACCAGGCTAGTGAAACGGTACGTAATGCGCTAGTTTATGATCGAATCAGAGAAAAAAATGCACAAGCGTGGTTTCTCCAGAGAGAAATTGCAGCTCATAAGCAAACTATACACACTGCTGAGACATTACATGTCACATCGATGTCACTTGTCTTTACGGGAATTTTAGGGGTTGTGTGTGAACGCACTCTCTGATTCCGGAAAATCACTGGCAGTGTGAATGAACCAAAATCAAACGAACCCGGGTCAAATCCCGGGTCGCTTTATCCATGTATTTTCCGGAATCTCTGTGTGAAAGGGGCTATAGTTAGAGCTCAAACCCTCATCATGGACCTCAGGTCACTTCAGATAAAAGTATGAGCTAATTGACAAATTAGTAATTCGACACACTGGATGTAAACCGAAGCAATTCTCGACAATTACATTTTCTGCTTTTCCAGAGTTTTAGCTGCAAGCAGAAATGACAGGAGTCAAATACACCTGTGGCACAAAAACTGTAAAGTTAAGTAGATTTGCTTAGTTATGGCACCTCTGGTGGTGGTTTAACGTCCTTCGGATGAGACGTTAAACCAAGGTCCTGACTCTCTGAGGTCATTAAAAATCCCAGGATGTTCTTCGAAAAAGAGCAGGGGTGTAACCCCGGTGTCCTGGCCAAATTTGCCCCTTGGCCTCTCTGTCCATCATGGCCTCCTAATCATCCCCATTTACTGATTGGCTTCATCACTCTGTCTCCTCTCCACCAGTAAGCTGGTGTGTGGTGGGAGTTCTGGCGCAATATGGCTGCCGTCGCATCATCCAGGTGGATGCTGCACATTGGTGGTGGTTGAGGAGATTCCCCCCTTCCATGTAAAGCGCTTTGAGTACTGTGACGGTTTCAGTGAGTAACTCGTTATTTCTGAGTTGCAGGTGATTGGCTGAAGGGAGTGGTCGTGCACCTGAATGAAATCATGACGCTCAATACAAAGACTGGGACAGAGATGAGAGAGAGGGTGCGGGGGTTAAGCTTGTGCAGAGATTGGGCTGGTTTCGTTTTCACCGCACCTTTGGTCGCTTGTCACGATCTTGAAGAACTCGTGATATGGGAGAAATATAGGAGATCACCGGCGCCTTTTGATCCATCTCCTTTTGGATGGTTGTTGTTTCTGGAGGTTTCATGGACGGAGAATGGTTGGACATGTCTTTCATGTGCTACACCTTTGCACACATCTGCTGACACACTGATTGTTAATGTTGTTGGTCTTGTCCTGATAAATAAATACACTTATTAATTGGCCGTGGTGTGTGTGGTGACTCCCTTATTTTGTTGCGACTCAGAAGAGATCAGTACCCAGAAAAGCGCTATATAAATGCAACGGATTATTATTATTTATAAGGTTTATTATATGGTTTTAACCAGTAGGTAGAGCTGCCAGTGCCAGCAAATTTAGGAGGTATTATCAGGACAATGGGGCAAACCTTTGTGTCAATATACAGTACAATACAGTTCAAACGTTTGGGGACAGTATGTTATTTTCTTTTTAAAGAAATGAATACTTAAATTTAGCAAAGATGCATTGAATTGATCAAAAATGACAGAATGACAAAAATTACATGGTAAAATTGATTAAAATAGAAAACTGTTATTTTAAATAGTAATAATACTTCACAATATTAATGTTTTTACCGTATGTTTGATCAAATAAATGCAGCCTTGGTGAGTATGAGAGAATTCTTTCAAAAACATTTAAAACAAACTTACTGACAGATTTTACAAAGTAAAGGACGAATTGACTAACAAGTTTTAGTAATTAGAGTTAAGCGTTTAAAATAACTTTATTAGAAGACACGGTTGTGTACATTTCTATTGATCACACTGGCATCCAGATGATGTAGTTGAGCACACTTAGCATTTTAAAGAGCTGATTCAGGTGTTTAGATCACAGTGATGGATTGATGCTGTACAGCCCCAGTAAAGTTTGCCAGATCTGTTAATCTGCAGCATGCAGAACAGACCTGCAACATGGGGAATCGCACAATGAAAACTGCATTCAGCACAGATTTTTGGCCGTGTTTTGCATTTTAACTAGTGAATCGGGTTATGGAATACAGCAGGTGCTAATATACAACACTATAAGCAGGCTCAAATTCATTCTTACTAAATTCCCCACAAAAGTTTGTGGTAGTTGATCTCTTAATCAGAAGCCGAAGGTAAAAAGAGAGGTGGATGAGGAAATAAGGGTCGGAGTCTCACCCACGCACAGTCTTAGCTGTGCTGGCAAAACCTTATTACTGAAATTGGAACAATTTTCTCAAGCCATAATGCTGCTTTAGTGTGCAATGAGGACTGAGAGCAGTATGCTCATTATCTTCTTTTGTTGCAGGTCTAGTCAACTTGCGCCTCAACCAGGATCTTGCTGAGCAAAACAGGATAATGAAGAAAAGGGCAAAGATGTTCCGTGACACTGCTAAATCACTCTGACTCCGTGTGTATAAAGGGGACATATCATGGAAAAAAGGATTTGAAATTTGAAAGGATTTGCTCTTTTTGAAATAAGAGTTTGATGTACTACGTAGGCAAGATGCAAACCCCACATGAGTATTTAGCAGCTTCTTTTACACTGATGACCTACAATGTAACCGCCAATGTCAGTAGATCTGCAAAAAGGTTATTCACTTACAATAGAGGCAAGTTACATAATGAAAGTCTAAAAGTACAGTAGCAAAAACTGTATAATCTTTATAATACTACAGAAATAGAAATTGCGAAAATGGAAATGTGATTATTGATTATAAGTGAACATTGAGGCTAAATATAAAATACTGTAAAAATATGGTCCAATTATAGGGTGACGAGTCATGTCTGTCTGTCCATGTTTTCATGTCACCATGTGACCCGTGAAGGGGTTAATTAATCACAATAACTGTCATGTATAAAATAAAAGTCTTAATTCTAAGGGGTAAAAAGGGGGTGATAATTACACTAAATCATGATGTTTTGGTGCAAAAAACAAAAAGAATAACAAAAATTAAAAAGGGCCAATTTTTAGGAATAATAAATAAAAAACATTCTGTTATCATTTACTCACCCCCATAACAATCCATTTTTTTTTTTAAGAATATCTAAGCTAGCATTGTATTAACTTGTGTTCCATGGATAAATGGAAAAAAGTGTGTGTGTGTGTGTGTGTGTACAGTCGTGCTCAGAATTAATGGTACCCCTGGTAAATATGATCAAAACTGGCTGTGAAAAAAAAATCTGCATCGTTTATCCTTTTGATCTTTCATTCAAAAAATGGCCAAAAATCTAACCTTAAATTGAAGTAAAAGAATTGAAAGTGGGGGGGAAAATCACATTAGGAAATAAATGTTTTTCTCCAAAACACGTTGGGCACAATTATTGGTACCCTTTTCTTAAATACTTTTTTGCAATCTCCTTTTGACAAGATAACAGCTCTGAGTTTTCTCCTATAATGCCTGAAGAGTTTGGAGAACAACTGACAAGAGATCAGAGACCATTCCTCCATACAGAATCCCACAACATTAAAGATCCAATAGTTTATTAAACTGTACACATGGGGTACTTTTTATCCCTGTGTGCACCAAACCCATCTAGCGTGTTTGCTGCCAAAAAGCTCTTTTTTAAGTTTCATCTGACCACAGAAACCTGTGCCGTTTGAAGTTCCAGTCGTGTCTGACAACTGAATTTGCTGGAGTTTGTTCTTGGATGAGCGAGGAAGATTTTTCTTGAAACCTTCCCAAACAACATGTGGGGATGTAGGTTTTATTTTTTATTTTTTATAGGCTTTCTGACCCCCAAGACTCAACTAATCTCTGCAATTCTCCATCTGTGATCCTTGAAGAGTCTTTGGCCACTCAAACTTTCATCCTCACCGTCCATTAAGACGATATAGACACACGTCCTCTTCCTGGCAGATTCGTAACATCTTTAGTTGATTGGAACTTCTTAATTATTGCCCTGATGGTCAAAATGGGGATTTTCAAGTCTTTCGCTATTTTCTTACAACACTTTCTATTTTGTGAAGCTCAACAATCTTTTGCTGCACATCAGAACTATATTCTTTAGTTTTACTCATTGTGACGGATGATTAAGGGAAACCTTTGTGTTTCCTCATATTTAAACTCCTGTGAAACAAGAAGTCATAGCTAAACAATTTCATGTTCCTAGTCACCCTGGTGTGCTAAAAAAATTAA